GTTTTTAACAGTATGGGCTTTCTTTTCTGATGAGCTTTCCTCAAAGCTCTCAACATTTGCTTCCATGCTGTCAATTTTAATTGAACATGAGGAATTGCCTGAAACCAAAGGCAATGCCATTCAATTAATATCAAAAACTTTCTAAGTTGTTTTTCCCTTTACTTTCACTCCATTTCCATTAACAGGCATTTTAGTAACTGCATATACCATTGCTCACGAGATGGAATGTTGCCCACAACCCTGCCAATCCTCTTACCCTGAGAGCAAAATTTCCTCTAGTCCTTCAAAGTATCTGGATCCACTGTTCTTTTTCAAGTCTCACAAGTGTTGTTGAACAGGTGTTTGTACACTCAGTGTTGGTTAAGCCGAAGCAGTGCCCCTCGTGGCTGGTCGCCGCCCATGGTGACCACGCCGGCGGAGCAGCATGTTGATTAAAAGAATCATAGCCATGGTTACCTTTTTAGAGCTTTATTGGGGGGTGGGGGAGAGAAACAGAGAGAGAGACAGAGAGACAAAGAGACACAAAAGGGGGGGAGGTGCCCCGCCTGCAGGGCTTCAACGGGTTCTCGACCACCCTAAGGAGGGAATGTAGGGACAGGAGATACAAAGGAAAACACACCAAGTCTAGATTCTGATCAAGGTGCCACTTTATTTCCTTCCACAAAGATTTATATAGTTTCTGCAGGGTGGGGGGGAGAAAGAAGCTGCCATCTGCATACAGTGGGGCAAGCTAACGGGATGTTTGTATAGGATGTTTACAGGGTGAGAGGGTCAAGGGCTCTGACTCAATGTCCTGTTGCTAGGCAACCTGACTGTAAGATGATCTAGTTCCCTGTCTTATTGGTGGTTTGTATATTTCCACTAACTAGAGATTCTGTCCTTGTCCCTGACAGGGAGGCATAGAGGGGAGCTGATGAGAGAAAGGAGCGGAGAGGAGAGGGGACAGAGAGCCCATAGAGGGCCCACCGGCTTTTTAGGCTGATGACATAATTAAGGATTAAATCCTTACATCCCAGACTTTCCCTTATTATAAAAAAAGCAGGTAGATGTGACTAGGGGCATCGTTCCTCTCAAAAACTGCTTCCAGCTGATTTTTGGATGTTGGCTGGCTCTCGGGGGAATGGAGAAGGGGAGTTTTCCGAGGTAGACAGGCGTGTGGGATGCTGTCTGTCATCTGTTTGCTCTGGAGATGCGTATCCCTCTTGGCTGTGGCTGGGAACTTTCTGTTTCACAAGATGCTTTTAGCGGTTACAGATTCTTATTTGATGATCTCTGGACTCCGGTTCTGTGGTGGTCCTGTACCATTAGCTGAACAGTGAGTTAGAACAGGGAACTGGGAAGAGAAAAGCTTGTG